GCAATCTATTTCATTTACAGGAAAATCAGAAGAAATATAAAATATAGTCACTTAACCATCTATTAAAATGCTGATTTATTGATTAATAATTTCCTCGTCAATGAGATGAAGAAAATTATGTTTTTTTTTTATATTTGTGATATAACTACCTAAAAAATATGACGAAATTTAGATAAAACGAATGATTTGATTCCTAGTTGTTATATTAGAAAACTAGTAATTACCGTCGCTTCGCTCGGTAGCGTCCTTAGACTCGCAGATTTTGTTCACAATTTCATAGGTTTTAATAGTTTGCGTCGAACTCTACTTATTTTTCTTAAATAAAATTAGCCTAAGCCACTCATTATAACATGCGCTATCTGCCAGTGAAAATCCCATCAAAATCGGTCCAGTCGTTTGAGATTAGCTGGAACAAACATACAAAAATATAAAAAAAAGATTTTTTTTTTATGTACCGTATATACTTTCATAAGCATTTAGTAAAAAGCTGTTTTTTTGACATTACAAACTGATACTTCAATTTTATTTATGTGTATGTATAGAGTATAGAATATAGATAAAAAAACATGTAAGTATGTTTTAGAATTGCCACCCATCATACTATGACACCTAGAATATATTACAATTCGGCGAAAATCCCTCAAAAAAAGTCAACTCAAACCCAAAAAATTGTTTTTACAAAAATGAAAATATTTTGTGATATATAGTGTTTTAAAACAAAAATAAATGTAATATTTTTATTTACAAAATATTTTTTGGAAGAGTAGCAACTCTAGCGACGTATTGATAGATTCCAATTATAAAAACTGTTCGTGAAAATATCTTTAACATATATGTATATTGTACATACAACATTTATACATATAATAAAATTCTAAGTCGAATCTGTACATTAAATATTTTTTGGAAAATTTCCTCAGAAATGAGATATTTTCCCGCGGTAAAAAGTATCCTATATATTGACCCGGATAACCAGCTATCACCATACCAAATTTCATCAAAATCCCTCCAGTGGTTTTTCTGTGATGCGGTAACAGACAGACAGACAGATAGACAAAAATTCTAGAAACTATAGATTCGGCCTCTGTGTCGAAAATATTGTTTATTTCAATAAGATTTTTCAAAAAATATTTAATGTACAGATTCGGCTTAGTTACAATTTTATTATATGTATAGATTGTAAATGTAAGCGATCTTAAATGTCAAATTCGGTAAAAAAGTTTTACGTAAGATATACGTATATTATATATATACTAGCAGAACCCGCAGCTTGGCTCGCTGTAAAACTAAAAAAAAAACTCTTAAAAAGTATGTTTCTTGCAAACTTTCATCCCCTATTTTACCCCATTTTTATTTTTATGGGATGTGTTTAGTATTTTTTATATGGTATCATCTTAGGTCGGTTTTGAAATGACAGATGACATTCGGTATTCTTCGGTAGGTGTGACGAGAACTCCCCTTTTGAATTGTGTCGGTTACAAAGAAAATTAAAGTATTTCGGTCGGATTGATTAATGGGCTTATATATTATATTCTAAATACACACAAAACACCCCTAGTGATCAGTGCCTACGCAGGATTAAGGATTCCGGGCCCGGTAACGCTTCCACGGCTAAGTCCACGTACAAGGTAGACAATATATATTATAATTTATTAGCGTTAGTTTTTTATATTTTACTCCGCGTAACGCGGATCATACAGGATGAATTTCGATAAAATGCTAAAACATGCTATTTTAATTATATTGGAGAGCTTTAACGTGAAAGAAGGACAAACAAACACACTTTCACATTTATAATATTAGTATGGATATATATTTTTTATATAATATATTTATATACAAATGGCTGGCATTTATTCAAAAACTCGTTAAATTAAATTCACGTAATATTTTATAACCGGGTTTCTTTTATTATGGCGTTTTAAAAGTGATTTTTATGTATTTTTTTATAAAATATATGTAAGTTCTACACAGTATATAGTAAGTGATAGTATATTGGTAGGGCACTAGTTTGAAAAACCAAGTGATGCGGGTTCAAACTCGAGTCTTGCACTTTGGAGAATTTTACGAGCGACTGATTTCCTACATGATTACCACTTGCTAATACAATGAAAGCCAGTGGTAGCCCAGCGGTAACAAGCTCGCTTGGGAAACCGAGTAAAGCAGGTTCGAATCCCGGGTCTCGCACCTCTGATGTTTTCATAATATGCGAATCATTTCTAACTTCAATGCGAATCATTATTAATAACGTATAAATATGCGAATAAATATAAACTTGTCGTAGCGTGATGGAAAATATCGTGAGGAAACCTGCATGTCTGAGAGAACGTTTCAAGTTTTCGAAAGACATGTGAATTCCGCCAACCCGCACTTGGGTAGCGTGGTGGACTATGGCCTGATCCCCCTCGCATTGGGAGGCTTGTGCCCAGCAGTGAGATGTTAAAAAGGGTTGAATACAAACATGCATAATACAATGAAAGAAATCAGCATAATATTTAAGTGAAAATTTTTTTTTGAAACGTGTGAAGTCTGCTAACACTGATTTAGCAAGGGGACTGTGACCCCTATCTAGTAGGGATGTCCGTGCCCAGCACTGGGACGTTAGAAATTAATAATTATTTATTAATAATAATTGTATACATCCTTATTTCGTATTTTAAAACCTATTAAAGCACGAACGATTAAAATAACAAAACATAATATATCTCATTAGAAGACCTTCCATACTTTACATTTTTGTTATATGCGAAATTGATACATCAGAACTAATTTGGGCCATACATCTTTCATATCATTTACGTCTGTAGGATATCTCAAGAAAAGCCAGCACCAGGTTTGCACATTATCTGTGTATCACTTTGTTTCAAATCATTCCATATACGGAATCCAAAAATATCAAAATCATATCGACTCAGTAGTCCTCTCCATATTTGAAGCAGATCACGGATCTATGAGTCATCAAACCGTTTCTCAAGTCTATTGTCAAAAGCTAAACCACTGCAATCACAAAATATTTATTTAAAGAGCTTTCTTAGTTTTATGCATGTATTTGACATTTAAATATATTTTTTTTACTTTTTCAAGGTTATTTTTTGTTATTTGTTTGACAACACGCTTGGCTCAGTTTTTAGTGACACTACTTTTTGTGCCAGCGGTCGCGAGTTCGAGTCCCGGTGGGAGCATTCATTTATGTGATGAGCACTAATGTTTGTACTCCAGTCATAGGTGTTTATATTTACAATATATATGTATTTAAAGTTATATATGTATAGTGTACCAACTATCTGCTATCCATAACACAAGCCTCGTAGCTTACCATGGAACTAGATGGTGCTGTATATTAATGTCCAGTGGATCACTTATGATGAATAGAATTATCTATTAAATTTTAAAAATTGAAAGATTCTTCGTTCTTTAGTTTCTCCCGTGACCACATTTGCTTTACACGTATTTAAAATAGGAACAAAAATAATGCCGTACAGATTATTTATTTTCAATATTTTTATCTTTATGCTAATACCAGCGACCCACACTCGCTCCGCTCAGGCAGACAGACAACAATTCTAAAAACTATAGATTCGACCTCTGTATCGATAGTAATGACAATTTCAATAAGATATTCCAAAAAATATCAAATATACAGATTCAATTCTGTTAGAATTTTATTATATGTATATATAATTAGATTTGAGCACAACCTACAGTGTGTTAAAATCTATATAGCCCTTAAACATTGGTCATGGCACAAACATACAAAGCAATAATAACTACGTAACACTGAGCTCCTTTGTATATAAATAAATGAAAGGTAAATGACCTCATAAAGTCATAATAAAATTATTAAATAGTTATACAGTAGTGTGTAGAGAACTCGTATTGACTTGTAATCAGAAAAAACCTTAGATGATAAGAACTTGATTATACTCACATATAAATAAAATTTTGTATGTTTAATACTTTCTTAGATTTACGCGAATATTTGACATTTTAAATAAAACTATCTTTTCGGATTTTTCGCGGATTTATTTAGATTTTTGGTTTCCGACGTTTCGAATGCTTTACAGCAATCATGGTCACGGGAGAGACTCAAGGCATTACATAGTTGTTACAGACATACAGACAGAATTCAAAAAATACAAAAATGGTACCAAAGTAGCTAACAATATTAGTTTATTTTAATTTTAAACATTTTTATACTTTTAATATGTTTTATATTTTTTACGCTTGTTATTTAAATAAATTCTTAGCGTATTCTTATTTGCATAACATAAATATGTATAAAAAATTGTTCAAATTAATCTTGTCATTCAATGGGCAGGTTTTAGTTGAATTCGCATGACATTAGGATTTTTTTATCGTGATCGCACTAATCAGACTACCGCTACTATTATAAACGTTTGTTTGAATGTGTGTTTGTTACTCTTTAACGTTGAAACGGCTGAACGGAATTGGATAAAATTTAGTAAACAGATAGACTGTGACTTGGAGTAACACATGATATATACTACTAGCTGTTCACCCTCGCTTCGCTCGAGTTCGGCTCTAGTGAAAAACAAAAACAAATGTATCCCACGGAAACCATACATTTTGGCAGGATTAAAAGTAGCCTATGTGTTATTCCAGACTATAATCTATCTCTGTGCCAAATTTCATCCAGATCAGTTCATCCGTTTTGACGTGATTGAGTAAAATCCAAACTTATACAATACACTTACAATTAGAAGATATTGGACAGATGGACAATACCAAAACGTGTGAGATAAATCTTTTATATATATATATATATATATATATATATATATATATATATATATATATATAAAATAGGAAAGAAATCCGCGTACATTTTGACATAATGCGACAATATATAAGTATGCGTGACCGGCGCCGGCGCAGTTCCTTCCTGTACGGCCAAGGCACTGCCCTTGTGTTGCACGAGCGCGAGTGTTGTGTTCATATCGAAAAGACTTTTTTTTTTTAAATAAGTTCAATATAATAAAATGGTTGTTGAAGAGAAAGTGTCTGCACCTAAGCCAGGTTGGTGTTGTTTTGTGTAGTTTTAGGAATATTATTTGAAAAAAAAAAGATTTTATAGTGTATTATTGCGGAAGATTAGAAAAAAATGATTGAAATATTTTTTTATTGATTATATACATAATATATAAGAATAAAAAATAAAAAGAGGTAAATTAACTCTTAAATAACCATCCCAAAATAGTCCCTTATATATATATTAATTAAAAATGTATTTTTAAAAATTAAGTGTTGTAATGATTGCTGTAAAGCATTCGAAATGTCGAAAATCAAAAATTAAAAATAAGTCCACGAAAAAATTTGAAAAGATAGTTCTAATTAAAATGTCAAATATTGGTGTAAATTTAAAAAAGTATTTAATCAATTTAAGTCAGTAATCTAGTTTTTTTATCTATAAATTACAAACACCAACTCATATTTTTTCCTTACTTATTACTTGAACATCTTGTATTGTATTCTTAACTATGACATATAAAACGGTAAATAGTTATCATATTAACATGTTTATTATTGATCTATACATGTGGTAAAATTCTGAGTCGAATCTGTACATTAAATATTTTTAGGAAAATCATATTGAAATAGACATTATTATCGGTATAGAGGCCGAATCTATAGTTTTTAGACTTTAAAGGCGGCTATGAATCGCTACGAAAAGTTAGCTTTTAGTAACCAACGTTAGATATTTTAATTAGTAACTTTCTTATTTCTTTGATAAGAAAAAGGAACCAAATCTGCACTTTTTGGGTTGTTGGTTGTGTTTTTGGGTTTTGGGTTGTCTAAAAAGTTACCCGTGTCACTTCTGACTACTGCATCATCAATACATATAATAAAATTATAACAAAGCCGAATCTGTACATTAAGTAGGTACTTTTTGGAAAATCTTATTGAAATATAAATTATTATCGATACAGAGGCCGAATCTATAGTTTTCAGGATTTTTGTCTGTCTGTCTGTGACCGCATTACGGAAAAACCACGGAGGGATTTTGATGAAAGGTATGGTGATAGCTGGTTATCCGGGTCAACAATAAAGATACTTTTTACTACGAGAAAATATCTCATCTCTGAGAAATCTATACTAAACGTTAAAACATAATTAGGGATGAACCCAAGCAGAGCGAGGGTGAGTCGCTAGTTCCGAAATAAAATAAAATCGGGACATTTAAAATACAACAATCAAAAAAGGCAGTTCAAATAGACAAAAAAAAATATTTACTAGTTACATATGCATTTTATTGTACAATGTACATAGTTTATATAATACTTAAATAACAATTGAAGCTAATGAAGTACTAATGCTTTATTCTTAAGTTAGAATATATTGAAGAAATATCATTTCACATTTCTTAGTGTATTTTTCCATTTTGGATAAATGTCCGGACCAACAAAAAAAATCGGACAAACGATCAAAAACTCTAACTGGTCCGCAAAAATCCGAGCGGAAAATAACTCTTTTTCCGATTCAATTTTACCAGTGAAAGTTTTATTAAAATTGGTTAAGCCCATCTCTATATTGTATCCCGTTGGAACATTTTTTTTCCAATTCGGAAAATACTTATTTAAGTTTTGTATTAATCATACATAAACATAATGATGTTAGCCAGATAACATAAAACCAAATGTCAACATATTATATAAATTAAGTGCTTTCATTATTGTTCAAAGAATACTTGTTTTTATCGTTTGAAATAATAGTAATAATAATAAGTAAATATAAAAAAAATAATATTTAGACGACTTTAGGATATTGATCGAATCTATATACATACACCTCATACTCTATATACATATATCTACATATTGACGACATGTTTGGCTCAGTTTGTAGTGACCCTACTTGTTGTGCCATCGGTCGCGGGTTCGTGTCCCGCTGAGGACATTCATTTCCAGTCATGTGTGTTTATGTTTATAATATGTATGTATTTAAAGTTATATATGTATATTGTATCAACTATCTGGTATCCATAACACAAACCTCGTAGCTTAAAATGGAACTAGATGGTGCTGTGTGTTAATGTCCCAACATATTAAAATATTAATTAAAAATACATTATATATAAAACAAAATCGGGTTCTTTACACCATTTGTAACTCAAGAAAGGCTGGACCGATTTTTTATGATTTTTGATTTGTTGGATTTGTCTCCGCCCTGAATAGCAGAATAACTATTAAAACATCGGAAAAATCACGAAAAAAATGTACATGGCTAACGCTGGCTATATTTTTCTATATCTATTTAAAACAAACCTAAGGACGCACTAATATATTTTATATTTTTCTTCGCCATCACAATTATCACGTTGCATAATTTTTTGTAAATTAATATACCTACTCCCTCTAAATATCTTAAATGACCGTTGATAAAATTTTAAATATTTGCACTTCCTTGTTTATCTCTATTATAAAAAGTACTTTTAAAATTCTATTTGAATAAACTATATTTTGAGCATAGCATTGGTAGCCCAATAGTAACGCGACGCGAAATATAAAGCGAAGTGGGTTCAAATCCGGGTTTCACACCTTTGACATTTTCATATACAAATAATTTCCAATATATTACCATATGCTAATACGGTTAAAAGAAACATCGTAAGTAAATCTGTATGTTTTGTTAGGCCTTACTACGTCTTGTTCTCTGGAAACTTTGCGTTTTCGAAAGATCTGGGAAGTCTGTTGTTGTATTTTTGAGGTTTGTACGCAGCAGTGGAACGACAGAAAGGCTGGTGGTTTTATTATATGTTGATTTGATTATACGTTATTTGTTGTTGTTGTTGTTGCATTTACACATCACATGTAGCTTGTCTCGCTCACTCATACATAAAATAATATACTATCTTTCTCTGTTATGAAAATTATATTTTTTTTTGTAATAGGGAGTGAGAAAGATGACGATAATGCCATCTGCTGGGCAAAAATACGAATGAATTGATGGTAAACAATATTAGTATCTACCTTATTTTCATCTTCTTTTTCAATTCCATTTAAAACATGACCTGATTCAAATAATTTTTGGCCTTTTTTATCGTTTTGATCTCTAATCCGATTATTTTTTATCGGTAACAAAAGAAATTTTATTATTTTTTGCATTATTTAGGCATAACTAATATTATTTATTACACTGTTTACATCAATATGTTTTTCTTATTTAACACCAGAGCGCTCTAGTATCGACAAAAGTGCTGCCCTCTATAGTTCGGGCACACTCTCTATAGATATTTGAAAATATTTTATAAAAAATTCTAACTATTTTTGAAGTGAAAACTTCTATAGGCAGGTTTAGGTGGGGAGTAAATTCATGTAAGTCGTCATCGACATGGTCACGTGATGTGTTAACGCTAACACTCAGAGTGCCGATAGATGTCAAAACCAGATAAATGTAAATATTTTTTATTTACAAATTTTTAAATTTAAGATCGAACATTTAATTTGATTATCCAAAAATAACATAATTTTTTGTAGTTTTAAATTTTCACTTCTATCGGCAGTCCTTATAACTGCTTTTTTTCATAAAAGTTACTAAATATAAATGAAAGCTTTAAATTACTACAACTATTTAACGCATGCCATAAGTATACCATAAGTTCAAAAAGAAAAAAAAAACACTGGCAAAAGACACTCAGCGGGACTTATAAATTATAATAAAGCTCTTACCATAAAAATATAATTTATACATATCATAAAATATCGATATCTGAGTCGAATCTGTACATTAAATATTTTTTGGAAAATCTTATTGAAATAGTCATTATTATCGATATAGAGGTCGATTCTATAGTTTTTGGATTTTTCGTCTGTCTGTCTGCCTCAGGCATTGGCGGTTTGGAGGCGATCATGCACAAGATGTGTTATTTCCCAAAAAAAATATTGTATACTAGCGATTTACCCTCTCTTCGCTCGGGTGCGTCCATAGGTACGTTTTATTTATTTTGTGAAAGTTCCGTTAAAAACAGTCTTGCTATTTCAAAGATTAGTCGGAACAAACCGACAGACATACAAAAATTTCAAAAAATGTGTTTTCCTTATAAGCAGGTACCGCACATAATTTCATATGCATATAGTAAAATGCTATTATTTTGACATTATAAACTGACACTTGAATTTTATTTATTTGTATAGATACCATAAAAACTTTAAGATTTTATTTATTTAGCAATAAAAGCCTTAAAATTTGGACTCAAGCCGTAATAGGCATATTTACATCAACCATCATACAAGGCACTTTTGAACTAAAAAACATGAAGTGAATTCGTTTATAGACTACGATCTTCACGCGTTGTTGAGCTTTTTGATTGATATATAATAATATCATTATTTTATTTTAACTGAAAAAAAAAATTATTTGACTTTGTATTTGAACTGTACATTGCACTTTACTTACTTCGATAGCCTTTTTTCAATCTCTCTGTAAAAAATTAGACGCTTTTATACAATTTTAGTAAAATACTAGCATTGCCCGCGGCTCCGCCCGCGTTCAGATGACCAAAAACCAAATTCTTAGGTTTTACATATTAGTATACTCTCAATTGTAAGAACTGCATTGGCAGTTTTTGTATTTTTTCTCAGAAATAAGATATTTTCCCGCGGTAAAAAGTATCCTATATGTTGGCCCGGATACCCAGCTATCATCATACCGAATTTCATCAAAATCTGTCCTGTGGTTTTCTCGTGATGCGGTAACAGACAGACAGACAGACAGACAAAAATTCTAAAAACTATAGATTCGGGCTCTATATCGATAATAATGTCTATTTCAATAAGATTTTCCAAAAAATATTTAATGTACAGATTCGACTTAGTTACAATTTTATTATATGTATAGATAAACATAGCATGGATAATTTTTCTTACAAATTAGTTAAAGTTATAAACAAAACTATTTTGCATCATCATTACAGTCGGTTAAATATATCCATTAGGGACTTTTTTTTATTAAAAATTACATACGCCAACTTAAAAATCACTTAAAGCTTTGACAAATGATGGAAATATCTACTTAATTTT